TTTAACTGTCTAGTATTATATTTAACTGTCTAGTATTATTTATGTAAATTCTGAAGTGCTTCTATGGCACAAAACCCTTGGTTTGAATGTAATAGTAATAATAACAATAATTACAATGTATTACTATATTTTCATTTGTACATAGTAGGGACAATATTTATATATAAATTCACCTAGCAGGTATTAAATATGGTCAACTTTATGGCTCAATGATGGCTGTTCCATCCTTAGAACACTGCGTCTCCATTAAATTTAATTAATTAATTCCTGACTAGAATGTGAGCAGGTGATTTGTCGTGCTGAAGAAATAACTTCATCGAAATAGAATGACATAACTGTCCATTTATATGATGAGAATGTCACGATAAGTGTTAGCTGGATCAATAAAGCACTATTTAAAACGGTTTTTGGCTTTAATGCGACAATCTGTGAACAAATTAATACACATTTCTGAAACTTCAGGGACATATTTAATTGTTTGAGAAATTTTGAGACAATGACCACAAACGCACAAACACTTGTAAGCTTATTAGTCTTTAGACGATTTCATTAACTACAAAATTAATTGCATTGATGATAGCGCTGAGGATGGAGACATCTTTGGCACCGAAACCACGTTTTTGTCCCCAGAACGCGTCCATTACGTAATCCGAGGAATTACAGATCAGGGCTTCTAAACCAATGTTTATGTAAACCAAGTATGGATAATCATATCTTTAGTCTATTTTGCCTGGTATCAGCGAATTCGTAAATTATATCAACCCATTGTATGTTAATCATTCGCGGGGGCACTCAACTGAATTCTTTTCAGAGATAAACTTTTAAACAGGTACCACCATTTTCCCTTCAAAATTGGCATGGGTAACCAATGAACAAATCCTGAAGACAAGAGAGGCAGTAATGGATTAGACGCTAGGGCGGCGCAAAGCGTGGCGCCATACGCCCAATGTGAAGTACCCTGGTGTGCTGTTTGGTACCATATTGTTGTCGATCACAACACAGTAAATCTATTGCAAATATTGTGTAAACGTTATACAGGCCTTTGTTAAAGGGGGTCTTGGCAATATAGTCACTAACATAGCAACGAAACAAAATTCCCGATTTTAACAGAATTCCTAATGAATACCCAAACATACCTACCCTGTAACACAAATGTTAGAAGTGAAAAAAAAAGCACCTAAAGCCTCGGTCACGACCGGACGCACGAATTTTAGGATTGCACGGCCCCTGTGAATTTTGGGTGCAGTGGAGGCCGTGGAGTTCGTAGAGGTAAAGGAGAGTTTGCAATGGAAAGGCGCAAGTCTGCCTTGCGAGTCGCAGAGTCCACGTGAGAAGCAGGGAAGCCAATTGCAAGGTGCGATGTACACATTTCTTGAGTTTGTCTTGCTACCTGCGTAGGCGGCTCGCACTCACCATTTATGAAGAGAATGCTAGCGGCGAAAGTAATTTCCTTTTGCTTCACACTTGCTTCACACGCATGTATTGACGTACTGACCGCGTACGTCTTTTTTGCCTCCTGTTCCCCCTTCTCTCTTTTTTCGTCCTTCCTTCTTTTTTGTTCTCTTAGCTTCCTTCCCTTGCCTTTTGGAGGCATATTAGAAGCAGAATTAAGCAAATTTCGAAATTTTTGAAATGTTGTACACGAGGTACAAGCGACGTTATTTGTCGAGACACGAGCGTGCATCGTGAGCACGCCTTTTATACTCCTGGCGTGGGGGCGACGCACTTCCGCCGTGCTTTCGACTTTGTTCGTTAGCTGTGAGGGCGTTCGTCGTACTCAACACGCAAAGGACACTTGCTCCTTCATTGTTTACGACTTGCGTCTTGGACAACGCACGACTCACTTGCATACTTCTCGCGAACCCCTTGCGAGTGGAACAAGTTACGTTTGCGGTCTCGCTGTTCGTAGAATCTTTTGGACATGTCCAACATCCTGCGTACGTGCTTACGGGCTGTCTGCGAATTTGAAAATTCACAAGAACTTGCGCGGCACGTGAGATTCTGCGCATAATTTGGACGCAAACAGGCCGTAAGAGCCCGTGCGGCCGGTTGTGACCGAGGCTTAAATGCACCGACTTACCCCAAATATACGCAAATTCACCCAAATTCACGGAGGCCCAAAATAAGTTTTTATCGCTAAATAAGTTATGTTAAGCTTTTGAAAACCTGCGCGACTTTCACACAAATCATAAACCTCATCTCGTCTGATAGTGATTAGGCAAAGCTTTAAATCCAAGGTCGGATTCGCAATCTCAACACATTTCTATCGGTCAAACTTCTCTACTCAATTTTAACTTACTTTTCACTTATTATTATTATCATTATTATTTTTTCATTTTGTTAAACAGATGTTTCGGGTGAAGTTAAAATTCTTAGCCTGTTAGACGACAATTTTTTTAAATAAAAATGAACCTTTTCCGAATTTCCTTCAGTGTGGGAGATATTTCACCAAAAAAAAAAAAAAATGGACAAGGGTGCACAATGCACTGCAACGAGCGCCAATGCACCAATTAAAGCCAGAATCCAGGGCCCCGTATCTCGAAAGCATCGCGTATTGCGAATCGCTATATCAAATAGAGGCTACAATGTATTATATGGGACGAGTATGGGCGAGTTATGGAATCGAGACGCTTCCGCACGTGCGCAAAATAGCGAACCTATCGAGATACGGAGCCCAGCAGGTTCAAGATTATACGTAATCCTACTCTACAAGCCGGGGACATCTATAGGTCCTTCAAGTCGATGAGGCTATGATGCGGTAACGGAGGCTTGTATTCCACCGCCACGAGGATGTCGCGGCGTACGGCTCAGTTGGGAGGTAAAACCATATGGTACCCTACCCTCTACCAGGGCGACAGATTGATTTTCCACAGATATTTCTATAGATAAGAGGACAGCCATTTCGGTTCTCAGCAAAAAAAAAAAAAAAAAAAAAAAAAAAAA